TTGCCAGCCGGGTGAACCCAACAATGTCAGCATACAAGATACTGCGGGAACACAGGAGGAGGGGACGCAGGATTTTCAAGTTTATATTTGTTGAGAAAGAAATGATAACTTTTCCATTAAAAGAGTATAACTTTTTTTAAACTTTACTTATATTTTCCTGAGAAAGATATCATTTTCCTGGATAGGGACTACATAAACATTTTGTTGAATTTGCCCATTTAAACATTTGTTTGGTGTACATTTTTGTAGTTGAGAGGAGGAATTATTTGGAGAAGAAAAAGTCATGCCCTGCACTCTCTCCCTTCTAGAACATTCTTCCCTGTCATCCTTCTCCCCCTCCAGGCCAGCTCCTCCCCCTCATGCCAACATTTCATTAACTATCCTAATTCTGATGATCGAATGAGTATGCTTCTCCTTGAATTGTTACATGAATTTTTAGCATAAAAATCCCAGAAGTAGAAGCAGCAAAATAATAAAAGCCAATTCCTGTTTATATTGGTTCAAAGAAAAAAATGAAATAATCACCTTCTTTTTTAAAAAAAAGACTATTCAGCGAATGCTTCTGGTACATACTACATGCCAGGAGGAAGCAGACACAGAGTATCATCCTAAAGCTTAGAATTCAGTTGGGACGATGGATTAAACAAATAAGGACACCAACAAATGTCCAATTATAAATTATAATAAAAGCCATAAAGGAAAACAACAGAGAGAGCATGGTAGGAGTGGATTAGGTGGTAAGGAGTCCAGGAAAGTCACTCACACTAAATGACAGTGCAGTTCCCTTCGTGAGATGTGCAGATAAGTGGAGATACCTGTGAGATTCCGTAGAACTTTGCACGTGTTTAGAATGGGGAAATACAGCACCAGTGTGTGCATTACCATGTTTCCTACACAATAATATGTTTCTGATTTGTATAAAGCCCTTATAAAGAAGACTAAATTCCTGCTGGTGCGTTGAGATTCAGACAGTGACTATGATATGGTTTAAGATTTTCGGGCCGGCCCGGTGGCGCACTGGAGAAGTGCGTTGGTTGGGAGTGCGGCGGCGCTCCCGCCGAGGGTTCGGATCCCACATACAGACTGAGCGCGGTGCAGGTGCAACACCGAGGGTTGCGATCCCGTTACCGGTCAGTAAAAAAGACAAAAAGGAAAAAAAAAAAAGATTTTCCATGAAACAAAATAATTACCATTTCATAGCCATTAGGATGGTTATTATATATAAAAAGCCAAACAAACAAAAAAACAGGTGTTGGTGAGGATGTGGACAAATTGGAACTCTCAGGTGCTGCTGGTGGGAGTGTAAGATGGTACTGCCGCTGCAGCCATTATGGAAAACGGCATGGCACTTTCTCAAAAAATTAAATGTAGAATACAAATGATTGAGCAATTCCACTTCTGGGCATATACCCAAAAGAACTGAAATCAGGGACTAGAACAGATACTTGTACACAAATGTTCATAGCTGCATCATTTACAACAGCCAAAAGATAGAAACAAACCATTGACAGATGAATAGATAAATGCAAGGTGGTGTATACATACAATGGAATATTAGTCAGCCTTTAAAAGAAGTGAAGTTCTAACATGTGCTACAACACTTGAAGACATTATGCTCAGTGAAATAAGCCAGGCACAAAAAGACAAATACTATATGATTCTACCTACATGAGGAGCCAAACCATTGTAGTCAAACCATTGAGACAGAAAGACTCGTGGTTTCCAGGGACTGGGGGTAAGGGCAGGTGTGGAGCTGCTGTTAATGGGTAGGAAGCTTCAGTGTGAGATGGAGAAAAAGTCCTGGAGATGGATAGTAGTGATGGTTGTAGATCAATGTAAATATATGTAATCCAACTGAACTGTATACTTAAAAATGATTAAAATTGTAAATTTTATGTTCTGTGTATTTTACCACAATGATTGAAACAACCCATCATAACATGGCACCAGTCAGTTGGGTCCCAGCCGGAACAGGGCAGGATCTCTGCTGTTGGCCACACTCTTGGGAGAAAGACTTTCTCCTCTCCTGATGGACAAAGGAGATCTGTGATGGGTCCCGGAAAATCAGGGCTGCTGTGCTGCTACGGGGTCCATTCTGTTCAGATGATGCCATTTCTCTTTCTCCCAAGCTCCCTGCAGAGGCAGCTATCACAGATGCTGAGCCATGGTCCAAGAGGAAGGATTAACAGCTCACTCGGAGAAAGAGTGGCTGATCCAAAGCAGTACTGGGAGGCAGCATGGGTGGGTGGGTTAGCTTGACTGCCTTCCTGTCCACAACGTCCACAGTGCTTCCTGGGGCCAAAACTTACAGTGAGCAAAGAAGCTCTAAGATAGGCTGGCTGTAGATATCTTAAGCTGGTCCGGAGGTTATTTGGCAGCAGAGAGATTCAGAAAGTAAGCAGGCAATGTGCAGAGTTATGGTAGAGGAAGCACAGTGCACTGTGGGACCACATAGGAAAGGAACCCGACCAAGTCTGACCAGGCTGCCACTTCAGAAATGTCACTCCTTCTGTGGCAACCTGGAAGCAGGCAGGTCAGTCAGAGCCAGACTCCAGGAATCCCAAAGAGCCCTGTGGAAGGTCCACAATGGTGGGAAACAGAGAGAAGTGG